TTTTTTTTCGCCCGAAGAGGGGATCGAATCCTGGACTCTTAGATTAAGAGTCTGATGCTCTACCGACTGAGCTATCCTCACCTCACCGTGACATTACCGCGACTTGTCGATAGCGCTTCAATATTATTTCTCATATCTGGTATTATTCTTCTGTACTCTTCAGTTTATTGTAAGTATCGTGTTTAGACTGTGGGTATTTGCACAGAAGATAATTGAAGAAACGAGACCTGTACAAAGCAGACTAAATATTATATCAAGAACTACGAATTTTGGACATCGTTTGTATTTTTGCAGATTTGTGCATATTCTATATATTCTTTCGAAACTGCGATACAATTACGTTAAGTACGATCTAATTGCTTGATGAATTCGAAAACGAGAATTCAAAGGAAGTTCAGTCGATGAAATTGAAACTCGAAGATTTCCATGGGAAGAAGTTATTATTTTTATTAATGATACCAATTCTCAAATAATTGAAGAAATGAGACTCATTCGGGCTACTGAATATTGTCATGGAGAAAAGTTATTATTGTTATTAATAATATTAGTACTCGGAAAATAATTGAAAGTTGCCTTTATACGAAAATGAAGTTCGAAATATTTTATCACTCGACTCTGTGTTTTCCCTTTAGACGATGACATAATTGGGAAACTCGGTGAAAGTTGTGCCTCAATTTGACATTTGGATATGAGGATCTGAAGACGTTGACGTAAGAAAAGTTAAATGAAATAAGTCTATTTATATAGCGTCGCTCGTAACTGTCCTCGTAATAGGTCAACAGTGGCTATCCTCTTCAAGTAGAATCACGCTTTCTTTGTTGAACGACACGTTGCGTAGATTATTTATAATGTAAATAGAAATCGCGTGGCTACCATGACGAAGTTGAGTCGAGTACTTTATTAACTCTACGGTGAGCGGCGACTCTTCAAACTCTTAAAAAAATTGAAAATATTACGGTACGTTAGAAATGAGGCAGACAAGGCGAGTCAAGATCAAATCAGACACTATTTTGAAGCCAGTATTTTCTCGGGTGCTTTCATGCTCTACTTAACTAATATTCTTTTACTCTAACGTCGAAATGGTCACTGCTTACGTAAGCTCTTTACGTCGAGGCTTCTGTAAACTCCTGCTGGTTTCCACTCGGTGAAGAAGCTACATTATTGTTTCGAACTGGACACAAGATGACCAGAGAAAAGATGATCGCGCAACGACGAACGTCGAATTGATACGTGATTACTTTGACAAGTTTCATGTTTGTGTCCGTATGAACCCGGAGTTGAGAAACCAGTTTGGATGTCGCCTCGTTGACCCTGGCTATTGCACAAGAGTGTCACGTACAATTTTTGATCACTTAAGTATGGCTCAGGACCAAGCGAAAAATGCTGCGGATTTTGATTGCTGAACAAAATTGATTGTTTATTGACCAGTGCGGATGTGAGTGTAAAGTGATTCATCTAATTTTTTACGATCTATTTCGATCTATCTTACCCTTTCTTAAAGAAAGTCGTAACAAACAGTAGATTGGATTGCATATAATACAAATTTCACGATAAGATTTACAAGAACGCATCACTCGTGTCTTCACAAGGTATTGGTAGAAATGTAGAAGTGAATAATTCAGTCGTCGATTTTCATACCAAAGCACTCGGAGAAAAGAAACTTGTGTCTTGCTTGGAACAGATTTTTCCAACGGATTTTATAATACTCGGTTTACAACTGAAGGGTTGATCGTCTCTATGAAACTCTTTATGAAACCGAGGAATTTTCTAACTCTTGGGCCAGACAGCGAGACTCTTACTCTGATCTACCGTAATAGAAGACTGATTCTAGGATTCTGTCCTTCCTGAACGATTGACTTTTCCAATCTCCCTTTTGCGTTTCTCTCAAATTTCTTTGCTCTTCCTTTTTGGAAAGCAGTGTGAGTGCCGTTCGTCCAGTGATATTGATGAATGTTAAGGATTCATCGCTGTCACGTCGTATTTGAGACTGAATGAAGGTAACGCTGTTGAAAAAGAATTGGAAAAGAACTGAAAGTGAAATACGTACGTCACGCAGATGACCAATCGAAAATATCTCAAAAACAGCTTTATCTGATCCTGTCGCAAATTTGTCTATTCGGCGACTTGCTTACACAGTTAGAAAATAAACGACAGTTGTGAAAATCTGCACGATAAGACTAGCTACACGATCATCCTTTGTTATCTTTCTACTGATTATACCGAGGGACACGAGAAGAAGAAGGTGTTAGAAATACCACGAAACGCGGAACAATATATGAACGAAGCGGCCGACGAGGGAAAAGCGTTCTCCGAGTGACGACATTTTCTCAGAATGGTTCCCTCAGCTGGTCGAAAACCTGGCGTGAAAGAAAGGAAGAAGAGGAGAGGCGTGCAACAGTGTATTACTGCTGTTTCGTGGCCCTCTTAGGTGCTCTTAGCGAGTCGTACGAAAAGTTTCATGCATACGAATGTGCGAGAAACTTTGAGATGCACAGCGTTTCACGACGGGTTTGGAATTAACGGCAGATAGAGAGAAAAAGAAAGAGAGAGAGAGAGAGAGAGAGAAAGAAAGAGAATTGAAATAAATGGAAGAGCAAAGGGAGAAGATAAAATAACATCGAACACGATATTAGAACAAATGATGGTTAATATTATCTCTTTTATTATTCGCTATCTGTCGTTCGATGGAATTCTATTTTAACGAAAATACACATAGAACACGGAAGAATGGTAGAAAGTTGCTACGAATTTTCGTTTCGAAGGAGCTTATAATTGGCAGATATCACGACTTCAAACGTTGGAGCGAATCAATCGCACCTTCAACCATCTTCGATGAAAATCTCGACAAAGTAAAAGTAACGAAGGGAAAGGAAGGAGCAAACAAGAAGAGAATAAAGAAACCACGCGTTCGCATCGTCGACAAACAACTAACCTAACACACAAATCCCTGTCTTAGACGCTGATCCAATGGGACTCGCTAAATCTGGAAAGTAGGACGAGCGAGAATTGTCTTGTATAGAAATGTGTCGAAAGGAAACCAAGAAGAGTAACATTAAAAAAAAAAAAAAAAGCAACGAAACGAAATAAAAAATAAAAAAAAAAAAACTGAAAAAAATAAAAGAAACTGTAGAGAATGCAAATTATCGGCCTGATTACCAGAGCAACGTGATTTCTGTCTTGCAGGCGGCGCGGAGACAGACGCGGTACAGGCGATCTTGGCCAGATACCTTCAGAGGCGTCTTCAGGGCTCGCAGCTGTCGACGCCGCCTCCGCCGGCTGTCCTCTTCAGTAGTAATAACCAAGCCAGAGCGAGGCAAGCGCAGAGGGCCACTAGCAATGCGTTGCCGAGGAATGCCAGCGAGAAAGAGAGGATGGAGCGCGTGGAGGATTACGAGGATTACGAGGACGACCTTGAGGGCTTCGAGGACAGTGAGAGGAGCAGGACCAGATTCGATCTCTTCGCCGGTAAATCCTTCAACCTCGCTCATATTTCGTCTTCCATGTATCTCGAGCCACGTATCTCGATCTTTAGTCGTTTGCTCGATTATGTTTTGTCGATCCCCAAACAAACCACGGCTTTTTGCTGATGGAAGGTAGTTGAAAAAAGTTTGTCGACATTTATCGTGCCTTGATACATCGATAAATTTGATTTAGTCTTTTGTTTAGTCGAAGGAGCTTTCATTCGTCGATTTGAACGATTTGAATGACATTCTTTCGGGATTGGTGAAGACAGAATTGAAGATTTCTGTTCAGTTACGTGTAACTTTCGTCGTCGAATGTTTCATTTAGTAGACTGCGGATTTTTATGCAAACTCGTTTTATAAAATTTTCTAAAAACTTGTGTACTTTGAACACATTTGTATATTGTACGAGTTGAATTCATAATCACTCATAATCTTGAACTTTAAAATTTCTAATAAAAATCTAACAGTCTATTAATTACAATCATCTCTCTGTAGTATATAGTTAATAATTTACACGGGAAATAAGAGCTGAAATTTGAAGGAAAGGTTTCCTGTGTATTTCGTAGCATTTAGTTGAACGTGCATAACCACATTAGCACTTGAATGAGAAGAAACTCGGGTTGCACGTGAACGTGGAACTTCGAATAGAAAGTCAGTACTCGGTGCCGTGGAGAATAACGTGCAGCAAAACGGTCGTTAGAGAGCTTTTAGTTTTTCGCGACCTAAATATCTGCTAATTGTCTGCGTTAACAGAGATCCATTAGCGGATCAATAGCTGCAAGGAACTTGGAGAAGAAACTGGCCCTCGAATTTTTCATTTTCTCTAGAAACACACGCAAGTACATTACGTTACGATAGCAATTGATGGAAATTGGTTGTACAATTACTATGATAATCAGACCTTATTTTTACGAGTATAGCGGACTTTCATGCAAAATATTTACACAAAGATGAAACTCTCGTTATAATTCTTCATCCACGTCAGTTATAGAGTTTTGTGCGTTTACTGTCAATGTGAAAGTGCAGAGATCCGCACAAAAATGCATAAAATATCAAAAGTAAAGTAAACAAATTTCTCCGTATACCCATTTCTTTACGCTCATTCAGACTTAAACTGTTGGACATCAGTGTCATTTTCAAGGCCATGTTCTTTACATACCTGAATGTACCTTTTTACCAGCTACACGGCACAATAAAATATAGTTGTATTATAAAAAAGAAAATGAAAACATCGATGATCTTGAAAACTCGGGGAAAAAAGATATTTTTATCAGTTACACATTGGCTTTGCCATTCATTAGTTAGGCGGGAAATATTTCTTGCAAGTCGAAAAGATGTTTAGGTGACCTCACTTAAATCGACCATCCTGTACAAAGAAAAAAAAAGCATAGAAAAGGATGTCGATGCAAATTCGTGTCCACTTCCTCTATTATCTGTCTACGAATTCCTGTCGATGAATGGCAACATTGCAACGTTACTTGGAGTTATTGCTGGATTCATTCACGCGTCCGTGTGTGCCAAGTTTGAAGTCCGTGCACGGCCGCGTGATTACTCTTCTGCAATTACCACGTTTAATCCGGTTATCCCGTTATTTAGTCAGCCATTCCTGTTATTACACGTAAAATACAAGGACGGGCAGGTTATCGAACGAGCGGCGGCGCGCGGATAATCAAATAAAACGACGGCTAATCGGACAATCGAAGATAACGCGGCCGGTACCGATCCAACGACGCAGACACCGCCGCTGTTAATATCACGATATTAGCGAGCCGGCCGAATAACTCTCTCGCGATCGCCTGGCCTGACCGATCGCTTTCGTTTCCAACGATTCGCGATTGTTCGCTCATATTCGTTTGTTCTATTCCTAAACGAAGCTTGCTCGATTGAAAAAAAAAAAAAAAATTGGCTCGTCCACTTGCATCGGTTGGAAATCGTTGGCGATCGTGGCCAAACACAGTTTCACGGTACGATCGAATTTTTATTCTCGGCGTTTTCTCTGTTTAAGCGAATTAGGCTTTCGTTCCTCTTGCGCGTACATATCGCTTTTAAAGTAGCTACAATTTGAGTAATAATTGGAATAAATAGAACTGTCTATTTCATATAATCGCACCACCGTTTAAAAAGAAATGAATAT